ATAATAAATACTGATTTTGTATAATGGACAATAATTATATATATTATAAATGTATATAATATATATATATCTGGCAATGTTGTCCAGGCTGACAGGTTAAAGAGATAATAAATACTGATTTTGTATAATGGACAATAATTATATGTATTATAAATGTATATAATATAATATACTAAAGCTCAGGGTCTATGTCCCCCAGGGTACTGCCGGAACGTACCCTGGGTACGGTCCGGTATACCGGAATGTAACCTGGATATGGTTATGGTTAGGATTAGGGTTCGGGTTAGGGCGTAGGCGACTCCCTAGACTCGTTAGTGGAGTAGGCGAGGTACGGTCCGGCATATAATATAGTACCCTGGGTACGTTTCGGTATACCGGACCGTACCCAGGGTACGTTCCGGCAGTACCCCGGTGGACATAGACCCTATCAGCTATACTAAAAGAGGGATGAACTCGTGATGAAGGCGCAAATTTAACTGTACGTTATTTATGTACATACACGTTGTTTGCATGTTGTATGGAGATGAAATATCAATGAAATGACTGTTTAAATGTTCTCTTGTATATATGTATATATTGTATATACAGTGGAACCCCGATTTTACGCGAATTTGGATATAACGCGATGAGTCGTTCGACCGCCTTTTTTTATTCTTATATAGCCACGTATATATAACCCCGATGTAGCGCGACCCCGCTTTTTTCGCAATGACATTCTATGGACCCCAACCATCGCATTATAACTGGGCTATACTGTACCATCTATATTCTGCATCAAGCAAAAAATGCTAGAATTTTGAACGATTCGTATGTACGTTTGATGTGTGCATGTGGGTGCCTGTGTATATATATTATATATATATATATATATATAGAGATAGAGAGATCTTGTACATCCTGCAGAGTAGAAAACCATAACAAACTTGCAAGACTTCTGTGTACGTTCCTATATATACCATATTTATTTTGCTTTGCTTCGAGTGAGAAATAATAGATCGACAAGGTTAGATCTACATTAGTATGAATAATTAAATACATACACATACGAACAATATGCATTCATTCCCCTGTTCGTTCTTCAACGAGTGGAAGACTGTAAAGAAATTACTACACAGTAGTGCAGAGAAACACATGCAGACACAGTAACATCGTACAGAATATCAATGATTTGATTGCATGACAGATAACAAGCCACATGGATTAACATCTGGGTTAATAATGACAAAATCAATCGGGGAAACAGAAATTTGTCATTATTAACCGCAGATTAACTTGCTTGCAGACATCGAATACAATACAT